TCTTAAAACAATAGCACCAGCTGAAAAAAGACAGGCCTGTTTTCTTTTCCTTGGAACTAGTGCTTTAGGCTTGCTGGTGGAAAAAGCAAGTACAGCCATCCAGGTTCCGGGCAGCTGTGGGTCTGGGAGGACCCTCGCTTCTGCCAAGTGTGACCCAGAGCAACCTGTGAGCTGGAGTCCCGCTCCTTGTTATGGACAGTGAGCTGTGGGTGTCTTGGCCTCCCACCGAATAGGGCACCGGGGAGCAGGCTTAGAGACTGTGGGACCTCCCTTCCTGCCCCTGCCAGGCTAGAGCATGAATGTGGCAAAGACCGTTCTGTCTGTGGCACCACGGCCAGGGAGAGAACTCAAGGGACCCTGATCCGAGTCCAGAGCTGCCCTGTGGCTGGCTCTGCAGTCCCAGCCCTCACCTGCGGCCTCTGCACTGGTCCTCTGCTGGTCCAGGAAGCCCCAGCCTTCGTCCCTCCTGGTCCCGCAGTACAGTCAGCAGGATGTTTAGGAGGCAGCAATGACCCCGCTGTCCACAGGCTCGGCGCTCAGGGCGGGCCATTCCGAGCCCAGCTGAGATGGAAGAGGGCGCTGGCCGCTCTGAGCCGGCCGTTAGAACAGGATAGTGGTTTCCTTGAGCTGATTGGACCTCTAGGTACAAGTTCAGGAGAGGAGCCAAGGCTGGCACGAGCTGCAGATCCTGGACCGATCCAGCACGAAGCAAGAGCTCCGCACGATGGTGTCATCCAGTGCTGCTGTTCATGGATTTTAAAGTTTTTCCATTGATATTATTTATTATTATATCTTAAATGATTGATAGCACTGCTAGAAGAGTTTTGGAGTGAGCCATAAAAAAGTGCAAGCTGCACTTGTGCTTTGCACACTAAGTTACAAGAAATAAAACATTTCTCCTTGCAATTACAGTTGCTAGACGCACACATCATGAGAACATAGCAGAGTGCTGGGAGAGAGCATTTGCAAAAATATTTACAAACATAGGCTGGCCTGGTGTCACAGGCCTGCGACCCCAGCACTTGGAGGCTGAGCAGGGGAGCTGCGAGTTCAGGCCCAGTCTGGGCCACTTAGTGACTTAGCAAGACCCTATTTAAAAAAAAAAAAAAAAAAAAAAAGAAGAAAAAAAGCTCCCTCCCCCAATAAACTAAAACTTTGTGCTAATTATCACCCTGGGAGATGAACGTGTAATGTGGTGGAGGTAAGATAAAAATCAGAAATCAAGTCATCTTGGGTTCAAATCCTGTGATGTTTTAAGTGATTCATGCTTCAAGTGCTGGTCTCCTTTTCTCTACAAACCCATCACTGAAGTTACTTAGAGCATTTACAGCATGATAGGCAATGCGTGGGAGAGAGATTGAAATGTACTAGGCAGTACCCAAAACAAAGTTGTTATTATATCATCATCATTATTAATCATTATTATTACACATCATTATTGTTTCGTGTTCTGTGTTACCTGAGATGATCCCCACGCAGTTGCTGCTCCTCTTAGTACCTCAGGGTTAACACTAGGTGGCAGAAACGCGCTAGTGAGCCCATAAAGTGAAGCACACCCTTCACCAACGCAGGATAGAGGGGAAGTAACAGATGGGTGGTCGCGGGGAGCTGCCTAGAGGCACCTGGGAGGGTTAGGCGCAGGCAGAGACAGCGGTGGAGATGAAGAGAGAGAGACAGGCAGAGAGAAAATCTTAGAAAGTATTTGATTTTATTTTTTTAGGTGTTGGGGATTGAACCCCCGGGGGTTGGTCAACTAATGAGCTGCATCTATAGCCTTTTTATCTTATGTATTTATTGCAATACTGGGGATTGAAGCCAGGACTTTCACAGTGAGCTACATCTCTAACTCCTTTCACTTTGTTTTTTTATTTGAGATGGAGCCTCTCTCTGTGATTCAGGCTTGTTTTGAACTCACTGGTATAGCCCAGGCTGGCCTGAAGGTCACAGTGACCCTCCTGCTTCAGGTTCCTGTGTCCTGGGATTACAGGTATGTGCCACCATGCCTGGCAACCCTTGTGATTTTTTTTTATTTTGGTAAAGTCTCAAATAAATTGCTAAGTTGCACAGAGCAGGCTTGAACTTTTGTCTTTCCTGCTTTAGCCTTCAGAGTCACACCGTTGCACCTGGGGTTTAGAGACAGGATCTCACTACATAGTCCAAGCTGACCTTGAATTCATTATGTAGTTCAGGCTGACCTCAAACTCATGAGGATCCTTCTGCTTCAACCTCTTGAGTGTTGGGATTTCAGGTGTATGCCTCCACAATAGCTAAGAATTTGATTTTGTAAAAGAAAATATTGAAGTAGTTGCTATGAGGAGAGCTTAGATCTTTGTTGGACATATTTCCACATTGTAGAAAAGCTCCTGTTATTCATGCTTTTACATACTTGTGGAGGAGTGCTTATCTATTTGTTTTTTTTAATATTTATTTATTTATTTATTTAATTTATTTATTTATTTTGTGTGTGTGTGGCCAGCTCAGCCCACAGGGGGCGGGGCTGGCTGGCATGTGGTGCTGGGGGATTGAACTGTGGTCCCTGATGCTTTGCTTAGCTTAGCTTGTTCTAAGTAGGTGCTTTAGACCACTGAGCCATCTCACCAACCCTGCTTATCTATTTGGGTAGACAAGGTGTAAGGTCTTAAGAGATCCTGGAGGGATTAGTGCGCACACAGCAAGTACCTGTAAAAGTGTGTTTTACTGTTTATTTTCACCCTAGCACTAATCTCAATTATGGAAACAGGGCCACTTTACTCTGTATCGCTCCTTTTACAGTAAGACAGTCAGCGGTCTTTTTTTTTTTTAAATATTTATTTATTTTTATTTGTTACATTTATTTATTGTGTGTGTGTGTGGCCAGCTCAGCCCACCAGGGAGCGGGGCTGGCTGGCATGTGGTGCTGGAGGATCGAACCGAGGTCCCTGTGCTTTTCCAAGCTTGTTTCAAGTAGGTGCTTTAGACCACTGAGCCATCTCTCCAGCCCCTAGTCAGTGGTCTTTTAAAGGTTACCTCTGATGTGGGACTGTTCTCCGAAAGCTGGAGGCATCAGGCAGTGAGCCCCTACTATCTTCTGTTTTCTGGAGCTGTGTGATTCTGTCCCAGGGGCTTCAGAAACTTCCTGCAGACATCGCTGGGGCCACAGTTACCTTTAGGCCACACGAGCCTCAAATCTGCTTGCAAGATGTTTGCTCATGGTTGATGGCTGTTGCTGCTTCTATCTAGCTGTCCCCTGTAGCCTCGTATACCCAATTAGGTGGGGCTTTTCAGATGTGAACTGGATCTGGGTGTGTGCTCCTGGGATTAAGAGTGTGTGATGCTGAATTAGCCCTTGTTTGGTTTATTCTTATTTTACTTTTTGGGGGGCCTGCCCATTAGCTCAGTTGTTTAAGTGCCTGCTTAAACAAAGCAGTCAGGCTCAGGTGCTGTGGTTCGAACCCAGATACTCATGCCAAACCAGAAATGCCCTGAAGGCATATTGAGGCTGCCAAAAAAAAAAAAATTTTTTTTTTCCACTGATTGGCTTATTGGAGTTCTAGACAATAGAATTGGTGGACAAGGGAAAGCCCCACCCAAAAGGCTTGTAAACTGGATGGAATAAAAGGGAAAGGGAGGCTTGCTGCTTTCTGCCGCCACTCCACCAACTGTTTCTCCTCTTCAATGCCCTTCCACTATGCCACGTGTCTTGGGGCCAGCCGATCATGGACCAAAACCTCGACAAACTGTGAGCTGAAAGAAACCTTCCCTTCTTTACCTTTGTGTGCCAGGTAGCTCAGCTCAGCAACAAGAAGAGTAACCAAGACCATGGCAAAAGACCTTTGTCCCTGTGTCCACAATTTTCTCCACACAACAGCTCAAGCACCCTCTGAGGCAGCTACTGGCCCTTGTGGGGTGAGTGATCCAAGCAAGACTTCAGAAAAGAGACAAAGATACCTTTTATGTCTCAGATGCTAAACCCAATAGCTTCTACCATATTTGCCCCAAATGAGTCACCGAGCCAGTAATTGAAGCCATTCATGGGACTTCACACACACACACACACACACACACACACACACGAAGCCAACCTGGGCAGAGGAATTGCACACTGCCCTGCAGTTCCTCCACATGGCCTGGACCATCGCTTCCCTGTGTGGAGTTCACAGTCCTCCTCAGCAAACCTTGAGGCCTTCCAGTTCTGGCCCATCTGCTGCCCTCAGCAACTCCTCTGTGCTGTCACACTCTATAAAGAAAAATGATCCAAGTCAGGGCTTTCAGCTTTTCTCCATTTTTATGTTTTTTATTGTAGCTCCAGGGACTTGAACTCAGGCCTCGTGTATGTTAGGCAAATGTTCTACCCTCAGCTCCTTCCTGCTTTTAAGCTCCTGAAAGTGTATTTGAGTGGACGCCAGACTCACACACGGGCACGGTGTCTTAGTCACTTTTCTTGTTGCTGGACAAAATATCTGACACACACAAATTACAGTGGGAGAGATTTAAACTTTTTTTTTTTTTTTTGCGTAACTGGGGATTGAACTCAGCCCTTGTGCTTGCCAGGAAAGTGCTTATTCCACTAAGCCATCTCTCCGGCCCAGAGATTTAGACTCCTGCTGTGTGGCAGAGACACAGTCTTGGATCTGTACCCTGGAGACAAAGACTGTGAGTTTGGTGCCCAGAAGCTAAGGCCTAGAGCCTGATGATGCCAGACTGTAGCCATGAGAGACAGAGTGGACCTCCAGGCCCGTTCCCCTGCTGCAGGGCTCTCAGCTAGGCCACAGGGGTCAAATGTGGCTCTTCCTCAATCATCAGCTGGCTGTCACCCGAGGGCCTGGGCACAGCGTGGGAAACTGCATCTACTGGAGAGAAATGGGAGGTCCCAGGGTCACCATGCACAACAGCGCCCCCAGCCGCGTCCTCGGTCGCTTGGGGACACCAGGGGTGCACAGAGTTGTGGCCGCACAAAGCCCTTTGTTGGGCCCAGTGACGCTAGCGCCCTCCCGGGGACGCGGGCGGGACGAGCGGGGTCGCGCAGCGCGGCCGGTGCGCGCCCCGGGCTCCTGGCGAGCTCTCGGCCTGGCTCGAGACAGACCCGCTAATACTGCCCAGACCCGGTAGGAGTCTGAGGAGGGCGTGATGGGTTTGGGGACAGGATAGACCCAGGGCCAGGGCGGGACTGCCTCGCCCCGACTGAGGACGCAGAGGTGGGGCCAAGGCGGGCCCGCTTTTGTATTGATTGTGCGTGACCCAGGCAGGCCCCACGTCGCATCCATCCTCCTGACTCAGCCTCCAGGGTGTGAGGCACCATGCCTGGCTTGGCCACTCTTAGGCCAGGTTTTGGATGAGGGACGCAGGTTGGGATTGCTTGGCGAAGTTGCTGTCCCCGCAGAGAGGGTGGTTCTGTCCTGCACAGCAGGGAACTTGTCCCAGAGAAGTAGGCAGGCCTGCCTGCGCCCCTCTTTATAGGGTGCAAGAACTGTCAAGGACTTAGTGCCAAAGACAGGGACGGTGGCTCTCAGGCTTGGCCCCTGGTGTTCAGCAGCGCTTTCTCTGGATCTGTTATCATTGGCTGTAAAGGCATTCAGGGAAAAGCCAGCCACTGATGTGTTGCGGTCCTTGCAGGGTGATGCCGCCTCGGGCCTGTGCGAGGACATCTGTGGGGGCTCGGCATGGCTTATGGGCTGCCCAGGAAAAACACCGTGCAGAGCGTCCTGCGGGGCAGCTGCTTCAGCATGTAAGTGCGGCGACTCAGAGTGGGTGAGGCAAGGGCCGGGACGTGGCTGGCACCTCGCATCCCGAGACTCCTTGCTGTGCTAGCTGCTCTCAGGTGTTGGGGTCCCCGGGTCTGCTTTCCAAAAAGCAGGCCTTTTGCAGGAGCCTATGGATTGGCCCATTGATCTGCACCACAATCACATTTCCAAAGGAGAAAACAGGATCAGGAGAACCTGAACAGGTCACTGTCACCAAGTGCCAGGCTCCTGGTCTGAATCTTCTCCCAAAACAACAGCTTCCGTCCCTGTCCATCACCTTAAACCCACTCTACCTGTCCACCTGCACTGCAGATACCTGGCTCAGTGCAGAATGCTTGTCTTGGGTGCAAGCGTTATTTTGCAACCCACTTGGCAGGCAGCTTGTGGACACATGGCTTTGCAGCTGGGGAGACCAGGCTCTGGCCTCGCCCAGACTGGCCCCTCTGCCCTCTTCAGGCCCTGCTGTTGCACAACAGCATCATTTCATCAGTGGGCCAGTGAAGGCAGCATCCCAGGGGGTGTCCCTAAGAACCAGTGACTGCAAAGAGGACCAGGATGAGCAAGACATCTTCCATACCTCACAGCATGTGCAATCCTATTTACTGAATGAATGCATGCATTTTTGCCCCAGACAGGAACCTTGGGATCTTGCGCTACTTACGAAGACCTGGTACTCGAATATAGTCAACTCCAGGTTGCCCTTCTTGGGAGAAATTGCCTATGGGAGTCCCTTTCAGCTCTCAAAATGTGAAACAAAGGAAGGGCTACTGCCTTCAGAGGAATGTAAGTGCCTCAGCATCCCAGGTAATCTGTTGTCCCTGTGCTTGTCCTGCAGATCTTATCAGAGAGACACTGAAATGTGGTGTTCAACCCCACAGCTTCCTTTCACTGTGCCTTCTCTCCTGGTAGCCCTAGCATCTTTTATTTTTTTATTTTTATTTTTATTTTTTTTGAGACAAGGTCTAAGCTGGGCCTTAAACTCACTATGTAGCCTAGGTCAGCCTCAAAAATGAAGCAATCCTCTTGCCTCACTCTCAGGTTCTGGGATTATAGGCATGTGCCACCAAGTCTGGCTGTATGTGATTCAAATTTTTTTTTTTTTTTTTTTTTTTGCGGAACCGAGGATCGAAATCAGGCCCTTGCACTTGCCAGGGAAGTGTTTATTCCACTGAGCCATCTCCCCAGCCTCTGTGATTCAATTTTGAATATGCTAAGCCTTGTGGAAAGTGCTGGTCCAATAGCTTCATGGGTTTTATCTTTCAGCCATCAAACTCGAAAGAGAGTATGAAATGAAGCGCTTGACTAAACTGAAATGTCAAGAAAATGCATCTGAGGAAATTCAAATGTCCCTACGAGAAAGGAAAGGTGGTTTCAGAAGACCTCTGCAACCTAAGTGACAGGCATGTCACGCTGGATCTTTGTTCCAATTCCTGTGTCTGGCAGGGGTGCAGGTGCCCGCCTCTCATACTGTTCCATCCCATGTGGATGAAGGTAGGCTGCCAGTGGATGTGATGCATTGTGGGTTGTCATGGACAGCGCTGCTGTCTCCCGGTCCCCACCATACCCGGTCCATTGACACCCTACGTGATGCAGTGTGAGTAGATGAAAATGCTCTGGAATTCTGTTATTTCTGCTGTTTGTTTTGATTTTTGTGAAAGGGCACTAAGGGAAGAGAAAACCTTGCTGGAGGCAGTTTGTTTTCTTGAGACTAGGTCTTGCCCTGTGATTCAGGCTGGTCTTGAATTCACTATTTGGCTGAGGCTGGCCTCGAACTTGTGGTGATCCTCCTGCCTCAGTTTTCCAAGTGTTGGGGTTACAGATATGCCCTACCACACATGGCCAGCCTTTTTTTTTTTTTCCTCTGTTTTGGTACCAGGAATCAAACTCAGGACCTTATGCTTGCCAGAAAGGCGCTTATGCCACTGAGCTTAATCCCCAGCCCAGAGGCAGTATCCTGAAGAAACAGTTTGAATTTACATCTTTGAAATACCAAGGAGGGACTGAAAAGAATGTGACAGAAATTTTCTTAAAAAGGATAATCTACTTAAAGAATTTATTTGGTTAGGAAAAATGTTAAGAAAAAATTAGATGGCAGTTTTATAAATGTCCAGTTTCCATCTTTCAGCATAACATCATTAATTATTATTGTGTGGTACTTTTAGAGCAGCAATTAGAACTAAACTTTGGTTTTTGTCTTGCAAAAAGAAAAATGTCAGTCTCTGTCTTACTTTTCTCAATGCTGAGACAACATACCCAACACCCAAAGTTAAAGCAGGAGAAGCTTATCTGCCTCACGGTTTGTAGAGGTTTCAGTACGTAGTTGGCTGTTCTAAGGCAGATGGGGATTGCAGAATAGAACAGTTCTTGGCAGGCAGAAGGGCAGCAAAGCAACAAAGCAGCAAGCAACAAGTAGTAACAGGCAGCAACCCTCACTGTCCCTTATATTTTATCTGGGCTACCTGCCTGTACAGTAGTGCTCACACCCAGGGAGAGGCACCCTTAATCCCACCCAGAACTGTGCCAAACCAATCAGTGGACCAACTTAGTAATCACAGATCCTTGGTCCCAGTGTCACACACTCTAGATCTAATGACCACTGAAAAGCCCAATCTATGGCCACAGGAGGCTTTGAAGGGGACGTCTCAATACAGCCATAACCTTTGCTTTCTGATTCATTTCTCATTTTCTCTTGGGAATGACCCTGAAGCTGTAGACACACACAAACATACCTGAATGTGACAGGAAATTCACAAGAAGGTCTGTTGTGAGGAAAAGTCAGATTTGCACAGAGTGGTTGGAGATGGGGAATTAACTGAAAGATTGTGTGTTTGAATGAACCAATCTGAATCCAATAAGACATATTTAGATATTGTGTTACATTTAAGCATAATGTAGTTGACGTTTGGATGACTCAGTAGGCATTTTAAGGCCTTCTTGTATCTTGCACATTATGAAAGACACTGACTTGGGCAGGCCAGCAGCTCTGAAGTGGAGCCCTGGTCTAGCTTGTGTGAGACCAAGGCCGCCTCTTTTTCTTCCATCGTAGCCCTATTGCATACAGCAATCTGACTTGGGATAGGTGACTTTGTGTCTGAGTTTACATTTTCTATAGCAGTAGAGATAATAATGGTCCCCAACCCACAGGACTGTCATGAAATGACTGAAGACTGCCTGGTGCACAAGAACTACTTTGGCTTAGCTGTGACTATGAGCACCACTACCCTGAACCACTATAACCAAGACACAAAAGACACGTAATGTTGGCCTGACATTGTTGAGTTTTGTGGAGACCAGAAATCTTGAATTTTCAAAATTTTGGTTTTCAGTGGGGCAGGAGAGATGGCTCAGTGGTCTAAAGCACCTACTTAGAACAAGCTTGGCAAAGCATAGGGACCTCGGTTCTATCCCCCAGCACCACATGCCAGCCAGCACTGCCCCCTGGTGGGCTGAGCTGGCCACACACACACACACACACACACACACACACACACACACTAAATAAATGTAAAAAAATAGAAATTACTTTTAAAAAATTTTTTTGGTTTTCTGGTTGATGTGTTTGAGCTCAAATGATATAGTCTAATTTTTTAGTTGAACACATGACCACTTATACCAGAGGACATTCTCAATTATATCTGTTTACAAGCAGTAATGACTAATTATCAGCTTGTTATATAACTCTTTCATTTAGAAGTATCATGGACTGTTTGTGCACAAAAATGCCACATCCTGATTGTCTGCTGTCTCACCAGGAGCAGAGATCTCCCCTGGTGGTCTGCTCTCAGGAGCCACTGGGGACCTGACGTCCTCCACACCCTACTTCTGACTGGCGTGTAAGTTGCGTGCTTCCTCCTCCTCCAGAGCTACTGAAGGAAACCTGTATCTGTTTGCAAAAAGCCTTCCAAAGTAGTTGGGAGTTGAGAAAGCATTATTTTTGGGAGACAAAAACACTTGTTTGTAGCCATAAGAGTCTAATTATAGCATGTTTTTAACATCTTCAAATTGCCTATGTTTAAATAAAATTACATTGAAAATAAATTCAAGAAAAAATATGTTTAGGTATCTCTCTCTCTCTCTCTCTCTCTCTCTCTCTCTCTCTCTCTCTCTCTCTCCCAAAATGATGTAAAAGCAGGAGTGCTGCCTTATTTATGGCAGGGTGCTAGTCCCTAGCCCGGTGCCTAAATCACCTGGGCATTCTCTGTACATTTATGGATGGAAACTTCCCATGTGGCCAGGGGGCCATAATAGAGAACCCGTGACAGCTACGTCCTTCCTGTGTGTGATAGGCTTCTGTTTGCTGGGAGGTAACCATGACTTGACTCTAGTAGTTCAAGACAAAGTTATCACAAAAACATCTTAAACTTACTAAAATCGAACTCAAATTGATAGAAAAGTAACTCCAATGGCACACAAAAATGCCTTTACATTTTTTGCCCTCCCTTGCCCTTGATGAAACAAATTCTTTTTCTACTCTGTATCTATTAATGTAAATTTTTATACTTTCTTTCTTTCTTTTTTTTTTGATGGAACCGGGGATTGAACTCAGAACCTTGCATCTGCCAGTCAAGCACTTATCCTACTGAGCCATCTCCCTGGCCCCAATTTTTATACTTTCTTTAAAAGGGTTCTGTACCATAAAAGGAGTTCACCAGGCTGGATGCCATGGTCTCATCTATTCAAATTCAGTTGTTCAGACTTGTAGTTTCAGCTACTCAGAAGGCTGAGACAGGAAGACGGCTTGAGCTCAAGGGTGTGAGGCCAGCCTGTGTAACACAGACAGATCCTGTACATATGAGAAGGAAGGAAGGAAGGAAAGAAGGAAGGAAGGAAGGAAGGAAGGAAGGAAGGAAGGAAGGAAGGAATCCATGCACTAATAATACTATAAATTCATGTGAATTCTGTGTTCAGCCTCCCAAGAATATATCTTTTCTATACATTTATCCTTACCAAAGAGCTTAACATCTTTCATTTTGTGTTGCTGTTTAGTGTTCTTTTGTTTTAAATTGAAGAACTCTTTTTAGCATTTCAAGTAGAGAAGATGTAGTGGTTGTAAATTTACTCAGCTTTGGTTTATCTCGGCAACTTTTAATTTCTCTTAAATTACTGAGAACTTGTGGTTGGAAGTTTTTTCCTTCAGCACTTTGAATATAGTACTCCATCCCTTCTCTCTTTTTTTTTTGTATTTTAGGACAAGGTCTACAGGATCTCATTACATAAATTGGAATTGTAGTGATCTGCCTGTGTTGAGCCTCCCAAGAGCTGGAATTACAGACACACACCACCATGTCTAGTCTTAACTGCTGTATCAGAGTGCCCTGGGAGCAGGGCAAGGAAAGCCGGGGATCAAACCCTGGCTGTTGTGCCTGCCTACTCACGTGCTTTAATCCACTGAGCTATTTGACCAGCCCTTCCCATCCCTTCTGAGCCATGAAGTTTCTGCTGAGAAATTTGCCGCTGACCTTGATGAGTGCCCTTGTAGGTGACAAGTCACTGTCTCTTGGCTCTTTCAAGTTGCTCTTTGTGGTTTTGACTATAAAGTATTTAATGTGAGTCACATTGGATTCTGTTGGTTGGAGTGCTTTGCTCTTTTTTTTTTTTTTTCAGTACTGGGGTTGGAACTCAGCACTTTGTGCTTGCCAGACAGGTGCTTATGCTGTGGAGCTATCTCTCTAGCCCCTCATTGTGCTTCTTGAATTTGTATGTCTGCTGTCTTCCTCAAATTTGAGATTTTAAAAAAAGGTTATTTTGTTGTTATTCTCATTTTGCTCATGCATTGTTTTGTTGATTTTGTCTAATTGTCTATGTTTCCTATTGGCTCACCGACCATCTTTGGGATTATTATTTTGAATTCTTTGTTAGATAATTCATAGGTCTTCCTTTCTTTAAGGATTGATTCTGAAGATTTATTTTGTTCCATTGTTTGGGCTACATTTCCCTCTTTGTCATTCCTGCTTCCTTTTCTTTTTTCCTCCCTTCCTTTCTTTCCCCTCCCCTCTTTTTCTTTCTTTCCCTTTCTCTCCTTTCTTTCCTTTCTTTGTCATTTCCTCTCTCACTTAACTTTCTTTCTCTCTCTGTACTGGGGATTGAACCTAGGGCCTCATGCATCCATGTACTTAACTACTGAACTGTAGTCCTCAGCTCTTAAGACTTTAGTTTGCAAACAGGTTCTCTCTATGTAGTCTAGGCTGGCTTTGAATTCACTATGTAGCTCCAGGCTGATCTTGAACTCATGCATGCCTTCCTGCCTCATCTTTCTAAGTGTTAGAATTATCACTGTGTACCACCATACCTGGACACCTCATATATTTTTTGACGTGCATATTTTCCAGGTTTAATGAGATATAATTGACTGTTCATAAATTGCACCTGCTCAAAGTGTTCCCTTGGGTGTTGTTTCAGTTACTCTTCTCTTGTTGCTGGGACAAATATCTGACAACCAAAATGAAGGAAGGAGAGGTTTATTTAGCTCACAGCTACTAGAGCTTTCAGTC